CGATCGAGCTTATGTTCGTTTGCAGTGGTCGTGTTGGGAGTACCTCCACTTCGCTTCTATGTATTCATGTATGCAAGATGACAATATTGAAGAGAACTAACTGACAACAATGCATAGGAAAGCATAGGGGATGTTGTTGGTTGTAATTGTGATGTAACAGGGAACAAAGTAAAGTAAAAAAAAGATCGTTTGCAACTGGCAGGGACCGAACATGCGACCTTCAAACAACGCGTCCGATGCTCTACCAACTGAGCTACAGCGGCGGTCATGCAATGGTCCACTTTACGGGTTATACATGTGCATTTAAATGTGGGAGTGTTGGTAACAGTGAGTGGGTAACACCACTGCCTGCTGACGTCATGTAGCATGTACGACAAGTAAAAAAAAAGAGCCCTTGAAATTTCCACTTTCCTTCACGCAAGCAGCCGGCATTTAACTGAGACGTTCGGAAGAAATGTGTCCTGACGAACTATTAAACGAAAGTATGTAGTGTCGTGTTCATATTTTCGTTTGTTTCGCAGATTCTACACGGCTAATGTTTAAAATACCAGCCCGCACGACACGCAAGTGCATTGAAAACATAACAGAACAGGAGATATTTGTCGAGTAGTTTCGTTGTTGCCCTTACCGGACGCTGCTACTTCAACAAGAATAACAACAAGCTCACCCTGCTTTGATTTATCGAACTGGTATATAGCGACCTCCAGCTATCACTTCAAGATCAATCGTTCAGGACACCCATACATGGAGCAGTGCACAGGTTTACGAATATTCAAACATTTCGAAAGAATCACGTAAAAGACCCCTACTCTATTAGGTCTTCATATCAAATAGGCGCCTATTCGTAGGTAAAAAAAGTTCACAGCACATGCACGGAATGAATGATGATGAGTGGGGTGAAGCGTCCATCCGTCCGTACGTGCGCCCATTCGTGCACCGTTTCTGCATCCGTCCGTGTGTCCGTCTGTGCGTGCGTCCGTTCGTGTGTCTGTCTGTGTATCCGTCTGCTTGTCTGTCCGTCCATGCGTCCGTCCGTCCATCTAGTGAACGCCATATTGCTTACTTTTGATCATATATTGTTATTCAAGACTGCAATTTCTCAGCAATGCTTGTAACTATACGCAGTTTCCATTATCTATCTTTGTCTTGTATGTGCTTGAATTCTTATACATTTTTAGTTGACTTATGTTGCCTTCCTGATTTGCGCATCTGACACTTGTTTCTTTATTTTGTCTTTTTTTTTTCTTGTGTGTTATAAATGTTGTACCCACCCCCTCTGTAATGCCCTACGGGCCCTGAGGGTATTCTAATAAATAAATAAATAAATAAATAAATAAATATATTCATCATATACAAGTACCGCCATCCAGTGGACAATCCAGGGACTAAACGAGAATATGTACCTCATTTCTGCTGTCAGCGCTTTGTTAACACCGAGAGGGTGATAACGTCGCCATGCTACGTTTTTCGTAGCATGTGGACATGCGGATATGCGAGGGCGGGTATGTGCCACTGGTATGCAGGTATGTGCCAAAGGTTACGCACTACAACAACGGGGGACGCACAAGCCACGCCATAGGGAGCATCATTCCTAAAATATGTGACGTATTTCAGGAAAATTGGGGACCCTTAAGCTACGCCTGTAAAATTTGAGAGCAATAACATTAGTCAATTTTTTTTTGCGAACTTCAAACACTTTGTGTATTAAATATTTTCGAATTTTCTACGCACGCACTACCTAACGGGTGCGGTAGCATGTGCGCCTTTTGTAACGAGTGACTGGCTTTAAACTATGCATTTATTATGATACTCACATGGTCTGACGCCCTATGGCTATGTACGGTTGTACCACGCATTAGTACTGCAATATTTCATGTTGTATTATGAAGCATCTATACAGCACGTGTGTGTTTGTGAGACGTGACAGTTACTCTTACTTTATTTCCAAGCAGAGGAACTTTTCTTTTTTCACTGTATTCACAAGCAGGGGTATGGCTGTGTGGTATAACGCATGCTTTTCACGTAAGCGGCCCGGGTTAAATCCCCACTCAGACCCAGAATTTCGATTACACTTAATTCACTTGAATCTTTCTTGATCTTTCGGTCACATAAAGATGATTATTCTCTCACAATCAACGACACCGAAATTTCGGCGAAACAAGCGTTTTTAACGCTATACCTTTTATTTTTCAAAATGCCAACTTCTTCCAAATAATTACGAAATTGGTAACACAAATCGAAATAAATTTAATCACTACGGAAACATCAACGCCAGCAAACGTAAAAGAGCCCACGTAAGATAGCTTAGTAGCTACAATAACGTATGCGAACTAGTGCGTGATATTTTGCGTAAATTTTTAGTGAACAAAACAAGGGTTTTCTGTTTTTTGATGAACTCGTTTCTTTATCAGACAACAAAATGAATCCATTGGACACTTAGATGCCACTGACGGGAAGGGTGATTTTTCGTCCTATTCATTTCAATCCACGTCATAATACAGCTAAAAAACAGCAATCGATGTGCTGGGCTTTTTAGGGTTGAATATTTGTTGTGTAAACTTATTTCTACTTTAAAGGCTACAACTATAATACCATGACCGGAATATTGCTTGATAATTACTGTAGAAAAGACCGTAGAATATCTGAAAAGCATTCAGTTATGTTGCTTCGTCTGTGGTCCTATTGGATTCGTATTCGGTTAGGTCTCAAAAGTTACCATTCGCCCAACTTTAGAGAAAAGAACTAAATCATACTCCCGACTCCTAGCGCGAATCATCGAGAACGCCGTCAAGTTGAAGCGTGTCTTGCACGAGCTGCGACTGTGCTGCGCGTGCGAACACAGTATACATAAGGAAAGTAACTCGATAACTATCACGAAGCCACAAGAAAATCCATACGAATTGTTTAGAAAGAAGGCTTATTAGTTGCCGATGTGGAATGATCAGTGTTCAAGTGCTGCGAGTTTGTGATTAATTCGTACAGTCATTCACTCGTAATCCACCAGCGGACCTGACGACCACCCAACTTCCCTGTCCTTCCGTTTTTTTCCTCCTCCTCGGCTAATAGGATGAGGCCGCAAAGAGCCGAATATTTTCCCGCCCTTTGTATTAACCAGATTTACAGCCTGGTTTAGCCGTGGTGGTCTAGTGGCTAAGGTACTCGGCTACTGACCCGCAGGTTGCGGGTCTGAATCCCGGCTGTGGCGGCTGCATTTCTGATGGAGGCGGAAATGTTGTAGGCCCGTGTGCTCAGATTTGGGTGCACGTTGAAAGACCCCAGGTGGTCGAAATTTCCGGAGCCCTCCACTACGGCGTCTCTCATAATCATATGGTGGTTATGGGACGTTAAACCCCACATATCAATCAAATCAGATTTACAGCCTGGAACAAACAAACAAAAAATTCTCTTCCTTGCCTTCTGTCCAGTTGCTCCGTGTCTTCACACATCACTTCGAAGATACCTCGTTACTTCGAGCACAAATAAACACTCTGCACACATCGCATACAAAAGGCGTAACTCGAAAATGTCCAGCCAACACTACCGCGCAGACGTCCAGACGAGGAAAACAAGTGTACTTCTGCTCAGCCACTTTTGTTCAGCATATAGTTTTGCTCTGCCTTCTGTAACAATATGTAACGGTGTTTCGTATACGTTTTGAAAAAGCGGTACGATGGGGTTATCTCTCGTTTCATTATTTGTGTGTGCAAATAAGGTGTGTCCTTTAACGCGAAAGTGTTCTATGCCGGGGTACACGACGGCTACGCTGACGTATTTCCGTCACGGATATGACGACGGGTCGGCGAAATCACTCATGAGTCGACTCACTTGAACTCACTCTGACTGAGATCGAGCCTTTATTTTGAGTCTGAGTGAGTCCGGGTGAGCAATATTTTTGAGTCTAAGTCAAAGAGAGAGAGAGAGAGAGTCTAAAGGGAGTCCGGTTGAAAAAATGTTTCGTGAGTGGGAGTCCGAGTGAGTCCAAAGCTCAAAATATATTTAATGGGTGAGTCTGAGCGAGCCCCACAAGTTCTGCCGGCCTATAGGGTTATGACTTTGCAAAATGTACGCGAACAAATCACAAAAAAAAAAACGAGCGCTGCTAGTTGCTAGCTTCCTAATTGACTCAGTTGGCATAGCGACCGCCCCGCGAAGGCGTTTGTTCCGGGTTCGATCCCCAAACCAGGGCGAATTTTCCGGCAGCTATCTTTCTGAAAACTCCATGTGGTGACTTCATTGTTTCTTCCAGCTACAAATGGATAGTTCTTAATTTCCCTATGTTAACCCTTCTACCACATTGTGGTATTGATTAGAATCAATCGAAATAGTACCATCACAAATCGTAAAGACCCTTTTCTTGGTATACCGTAAGGCGACCGGTATTAAAAGCACCAATAACAGCATGATGATTATTATACAATAGTAAATAAAAATGTTTCCAATAAATACACTATACATGTTTAAATTCGACGAGCGAAACATACAGACAGTGCAACAGGTAGTACAAATGCTATAAATGCTCTTACAGAAGAGTGGTGTCACTGAAAGACATAAGATAACAATGTAGTGATGGCAGATTGAGATTTTTGAAGAAACAAAAAGATATGTCAGTACGTTCTTAAATTTATCGGAATACTGTTCACTTACTCTGTTCGGGTGGCGCGTTCTATTGTAAACGAGCAGTCAGTAAAAAGGATTTGTTGAATGTTTTAGAGGTGGCGTGAAGGCGTTATACACTGAGGTAATAAACAGGCAGTTGCACACTGAGGTAATTGACAACCAGTTGTACATTGAGATCATCAAACAGGCAGTTTTACACTTACATAATTTAACAACCAACTTAGTAAAACTGGTTGTTGGGCTAGTTGGTGTAGATATTACAAGAAAAGTAGACGAGAATTTAGACGCAATTAAAAAAAAATTCTTGAAGGAACCAGTTTTGCACTGGGGTGATTAAAGAAGACGTTGTATACACCTTAGTTATCAAACAGTACAGTACGTACTTGGATGGCGTTGGTGACGTTCCATCCGGCCTGCCACTCCGAGATCTTCTCTCCTTCCCGGCCTCCGAACTCGTCGACCACGTCGACGCTCCTCTGAGGGCCCAGGCCATTGACGCCCTCGGTCAGCGTCGTCTCGGCGAACTCTCCGCCCTCTCCGCTCCCGGTGCCCAGACCCTGTGTTTAGATCCGACCAATGAGACACTCGCGAAGGACCAGTGAGCCAATCGCTGTTTGGGCTTGAGCGCGGGAAAAGACAGTGACAAAAGCATGTATGAACACACGCACTCGCACTATCACCAGTGTGTGTGTGTGTGTGCGTGTGTGTGTGCGTGTGTGCGTGCGTGCGTGCGTGTGTGCGTCTATGCATTCTTCATTCTGCCCCAGTCTTTTGGCGGGCTCAACCCCAATGACAAACCATCAAGCCAGTCTAGCCGACCGAGCCAATCGCGGAAGAACGAATCACTAGCGTAAAAAGAAGAAAAAATGTCCACTGAACAAAGTCAGCTGCGAGAAACGGAAAAGAAAAGTTCGAAGGGAAGGATGTAGGCCAGACAAGCTTCATATTAGTTACCCTGGCGAAAGAAAGTACAGGGTTTAAATAAAAAAAATGTTGCTTCTAATTTCGTACAGAAGCCTTCTTCACATCTGTGCTTCATTAAAAAAAAGCTTTCTCTCACTCTCTCCTCCTTCACAATTAGTTACCCTACAAGCCGGGGGTGGGGGGCAGAGCAATGTAGGTGGAGTGATAGAAGCCGTGTACATAGATTTGGGTGGATGTTAAAGCGCACCAGATGGTCGAAATTTACGAAGCACTACGGCATGCTATACGCATTCACATCGGGGTTTTGGCGCACGATTCTACACAGATTAATTTTACGCCAATCCCATGCTTGGCTTCGAACTTCACTAGTTGTACTTGATAGCACCACAAGCTTTCTATGCAAAACTTTTAGCGTGATATTTCGCAGCACCAGTTTTCCCCTGACTGGCACGCAAGATGACATAATTGCACCGAATGCTACAACGTCTGGTACTAGTGCACGCTAAAACAAGAACGTCATTTATGATGTTGTTGCGTGGTCATTACGTTGACGAAGCAGCCGGAATGTGCAAGATAAACTTTTATTTGGCCAAAATTGTGGCCGGTAAACGGAAAGTCACAGATAACAATACACACTGGCATTGATATCGGTGAACGGGGCATCGGCCCTCGATCAACTGATCGTCGATAGGGCGCGTCGCCTTTTATACATCGCGCGTCGAACTTTCCAGACTTTTTAGTGGTGGCGGCGAAAGCTATTGAATAAGCTTCATTGTTCGCATCTCTCACGCAATCTTAACAAAATGATCTAATACAATTGTGAATCTGCTCGAACACTCAGGTGCGATCTGCATCTAATAATGCTCGCTGTGGTTGTGTGTTCAAACTAAGCCCATTAAAATAACACGCGTGGCATTTTTAAGTGACCTGAGTTCACGAAAGCAAATGCCTCATATAGTTCCGTAATAGGGACAACCCCCCCCCCCTTTTTTTTCACTTTATTGAATAAATGTCTCGTCGTCATCTGAAATAAGTGGCTTTATAGAGACACACTTCATACTGTATACCGTAAGCATAGAGAAGTTGAAGCTATAATACTAACAAATACCTTGACTTGTCTTTAAAAAAGATTTTTTTTTCGTTTCATGATTAACTTCCTATCTGCTACGTAGAAACATCGCCGATCAAACGAAAGAAAGCTAACTTCAGAAATCATCCGTGCGAATAAACTAATTCACGCTAATCCACGAGTCTCAGCGCAGAGACGTTCGATTTAAGCAACAGACAGTTAAAGACTCGAATCGGACGTCCAAACTCCGGAAACAGAAGCTCGCGCTGAAACCCAGCGTTCGCACCTCTGGTAGATCTACTTTTACTGCTTGTTCTAGTTGTATAGTAGAGCGCGGTTGCAACTAGGTTTTCGGTATATAGTTAGCCGGTATATAGCTTGTAGAGTTTACTCTCTTGTTTAGCTTCTTTTCGTACACCTGTTTGTTGGCGATAGTTTTCTTCACATTTAGTGAATGAGCAGTGAATATCATTCACCCAATTTCTTTGCCACATACCCGTGTATGGTTATGATGGTTTTCGCGTAGGCCACACAGCACATACCATTAAGCCGCACGAATTGCGGCTATAGCCTTCACAATGTCGCTGTTAAAATGATCAGTACTAAACAGTGAAAGAATGATTATCAGGGAAGCGAATCCCATTACGTGTGTTATATTGACGTGATCCACTAAGAAATACAACGAAGGCGTTTACTCAGTACGAATGTTACGTTATAGTGCTACATTACAATGCGAAACGTTATGTCTATGTTAATGACAACCAACAGACAATCATGCCAGGGAAAGTATAGGGGATGTTATTAGACGTAAATGCAATATAATTCTGAACAAATAAAAGTGGATGAATATATAATTGGGCAGAGATCAAACCTGCGAGCTTCGAATAACGCGTCCGATGCTCCGACGCATTAATCGAAGGTCGCATCAACTGCTGTGGGACAATTTGACAACACCGCGCTAATGGAACAAATCATTTATAAGTACTGACCTAAGTTTTGAGTCGTCAGTGAGTGAAGTACTTTCACTAATAGTAACGATCATCACAATACCCTCATCTCCTTAGAAAGCTCTTCTTCTCAGTTGAAATTGGTTGTGCAGAAAAAAAAAAAGTAGATTCTTTAGGTGCAATGCCTCTGGAAGTGTATAAAGAAAATACAAACTCACAGGGTGCTTTATGCGTCCATTGACTCGAAGGCGAAAGCCATGGAATAGAATTAAAAAAAAATATATTACAAAAAAATGTTTCTCCTTCAGGACGCGCTTAGCGCATGCTGTACGTCTCCCACGTAGAAACCGACAGGGACTACCTGGCAGCCTCAGGCACTCTAACCCACGCCTACTACCAACTCACACGTGCCAAAACCCGATCAAGCTTCACGTTTTCGGCCCCGACGCGTACCCCAGCGACACGTGCGCCTCGTGTGGACACACGGCAATACCCGCACACATGCTCTGGCAGTGTAGAGACGCTCATCCCGGCTCTACCTCGAACAAGTGGGACAGGTCGCTCAAAAGCTCAATTCTCGTCGATCAGCAATGGGCCCGCGAAGCGAAAGCCATCTTGTTATATTTTTCTTCTCAGTCTATATGCTAATCTGACCCCTTCTTCCCACCTCCTTAACCTGGTTTTTCACTGCCTCTGTGATCGGCTGCCCTTTCACCAAGCGTCGATGTCACGTGAAGACGCGATCAAGAGCAGCCGTATAGTGGCGTAATAAAGACGTCACATATCTTGGCGCCATGTGACACAATAATGACGTCATTAGGTGACATGATCACGTGATGATTTTTTGCATCGCTTGCGTTGGCGCATTTGCTACGGCACGCCAAATCTGGCGGTCGATTTTCGCGTTCGATGAGGCGTCAATGTGGGAAAATTTCCGAGAGGCTTTCGAGCGCAGGCTGCGGAAGCATGTTCAGTATCGAGGAGACGAGGTGTAGTGCATGGGGGATGTAGCACAGAGTGACTGAAATCAAACGCAATCATGGGCACCGAAGCATTCAGCACAAATGTACCGATGCATCGAGCAATAATTGTAATGAAAGAATTGCACTTTATGAAGCAAAATCACTCACCAAGTGAGGTGGATCACTTTGGTGCGATACGAAAGCCGAACCTTTATAGAACTTTTCAGAAGTACGAGAAATTTTTCACACATATTTTCGACGTGAGGGTTGCTACTATTTTCATATGTGTGCGCCAAGTTTTACTTTTCAGAAGTAAATTAGTGCAAGATAGCTTCTCTGCCAGGCTTACATAGCATGGCAAACATTGTCCGGTTTCAAGCAAACATACATAAATACAAACACAGCAAACAGTAACTTGCTCGACTAAACACACGAGACGAACAGATTGGAAGAATTTTAAATTATTACGCTTAGCTCACATAAACTTTGAAAGAGTTCATTGACGGGGACAAAAAATTAACTAGAGAAGTTTGCATTAAAGTGGTCAATAGGGGGTCATTTGCACACTAGTATACTCTAACAATGCAATATGTACAACGTTACAAGACATGTGAGTACACACCATAAACAGCAGAACAGAGTGCTCTGATAATTATCCTCAATATTTTACTCCTCACAAAAATTTTTGAGACTTCATAAGCACGCTTTTGGAGTTCTATTTTCTTCATAGACCAAACTTTTGTTTACAGCGCTCAACTTATCCCTTCAGCTTTTTTTTTTTCAATGTGAAGTATCAATGCCTTAGTGCAGCCAAATATAGTTATAACTGTTAGGGTTTAACGTCTTAAAACCACGACATGGTTATAATGGACATAATAGAAGAAGGATCGGGAAATTCTCACCACCAGGTGTTCCTTACCGGGCACCTAAATATAAGTACATGAGCGTCTGGCATTCCGCCTCTCTCAGAAAACACACACACACACACACACACACACACACACACACACACACACACACACACACACACACACACACACACACACACACACACACACACACACACACACACACACACACACTCACTCACACACACGCACACGCACGCACACACACGAATGTCGTGTCCCGGCAGTAAAAGCAAACTTCTATTTTATGTGCATGTACCATTTTCAGCTTCGAACGAAAACTAAAGAAATGAAGCAACTAACCTCGCAATGGCTGCTGCAGATGATAACAGTTGTTTCTTCGTATTCAACAAAGCAATAATGTTGACCACTTGAAGCTCCGGTGTCTATTAATGAAGTTGATCTCATGTTGCAAGTGCTAATGCTGATAATTCTGACCTTTATGGTTTTTTACAATCTTATCTGGCCGGCACGCTGAGCATCAGTAATGCAAGCAGTGAAGTCAAAAGAAGAGTCCTCTAAGGATTTACGCAGATCGGACTTTTCAGGTCTTTATATAGAGCTGAGTTAAAGATGGAGAGTAGCCGAGGCTTGTTATAGAGCTTGGTTTTTGTATTCGTGACATACCGGATTCGTTTCTGCGACTACTTAGAATTGTATGCGAACAATCGAATTAGAATGATAAAACTCATGTTCAGAGTTCGTTGAGAGAGTTGCAAGAATAGCGAGAAATAATAATTGATAGTTTTAAGTGCTACACCAAATGTTTTGTAGAAGGGTTGATAGGTGGTCTAGTTGGTACGCATTCATAATGAAATATGGGAAACGCCAATTAACGGGGCGCAAAGGAGGAGACCGAACTTTTTACCATCCGTTTCACGCACCAGGTACAACGCTGTAGAACCTATGGCGAGAAGTTTGGTCAGTTAATTGTAAAACTCCACACGTCTTTTTCTCGGTTTTTCGTGGTTGTGAATAGTGCAAGCCTATATATAGTACGGGCCTGCACGTGATGCGTGTCAAAGGACCGCAAATAAATGACCAGAAACAGAAAACAACTGAGTGCTAAGTGATTCGGAACAACGTACATGATAGCCGTAAAACGAAGTTTGTTCATTACTAAGGTACATTTCATGCTTTAAGCCTGTAAAAAAGGAGGGGAAAGGAATCTCATTTCGGGCGGCCAAAACACTGAACTTATTTGTGGGCGAACGCATTTACTCGAACAATATAGTCTCGCTCTAGCGTACCCGACACGGTGGTCTAATGGGTATTGCGCTTGACTGCTGACCGAGAGGTCCCTAGAACACAACCCGCCGATCGCATTTCGATAGAGTGCGAAACGTTAGTCGTCAGTGTATCTCTATTTAGGCGCACGTGAAGTTCATTTATGCCGCTACACCCTTGTGCATATTTTGTTTTACTTTGTTTTCGTGTACGTGGAGTAACATTATGCGTTTCTTGAATGTGCAGTGCGCTCTGTGGGTTCATTATACTTGGACGTGTATATATTTCTTCGCAAAGAGTGTTTGGTGTACATGTGCATTTGCGCTGTATTTTTATATTTGTCTGGCTTTACACTTCGCCTATGTTACTTATCAAGATGTATAGGCCATATAGCTCTTTTGTTTTTCTGTGACTATTAATTTGCTGCTGCTTGTACGAACCTCCGCCCCTTCAAGCTGTTTTTGGCATCTTTTTTTTTTTTTGCCTAGGGACACCCTCAGCTTTCTTTTTAGTTGAAAACAAAGCTCAGATTTCAAGTCTAAAGAACACTACACATTCGAAATTTCCTGAGCCCTCCGCTACAAAATCCCGCGGGTTTTGCGCCCCGGTTTTGGGACATAAAACCTCAACGGTTACTATTCTTTTTCGCCAGCACTGTTTCACTTAATAAATTAAACGGAGCATAGGGTGATAGAAAATTAAATAAAGAAATTCGTAAACAAAGCAGAGTTTGCAGCTACGAACAAAAGGATTAAGATTTTTGTTTTAATAATGCTCACAGGTTTAAAACAGTGAAATGGGAATGGACGAATAATCACTCCAATAAACGACGCTTCTGAATGAAGTGAATCCTGGAGAACTTGATGATACTTGCGGCTTAAAAAGCAATTAAAAGCAAATTCCCTCTGCGCCAACGCAGCGCTGCCTTAGGATCTAAGCACATACTCCTTGCAAGGTGCGCATCGTGACAAATATTTACGGAGGTATTAAAGTGATTACTTACTCGTTGCAAGTTCCAAATGACTGACGTGTATGGAAACATAGCCCGCCAGGTAACTTTAAGCGGCGCTTTACGGCAGCGCACAAATGCATTTTGAAGCGACAAGGGTAACGATAAAAAAAAAGAACTGTTTTTTGCTTACGTGACATTTCACCTCCACGTGCAATATTACCACCACGAAAATGGTCACAATATAGCCACATCTCGTTCTTCTGCTAAATATTCTTAAGCGAAAACCCCACTGCGTATTGTAGTACACCGCCTGAATCGAGCTTGCTCAAGCTACCTTTTTTTTCGCTCCAAATTTGGAACATAACCTGGCCTAACCTAACTAACCTGACGCATCTATGACAATGTGATACAAGGTGGACGTCGAAATTCGTTTTAGTTTACTGTGATTTCTTATTTTTCTCAACATCCGCTGAAAACGTGATAGCCGAACGCATTTTTTTTTAAATTGTGCGAGTTGTCTCTCCTTCGAAAGCCCCGCCGCGGTGGTCTAGTGGCTAAGGTACTCGGCTGCTGACCCGCAGGTCGTGGGATCGAATGCCGGCTGCGGCGGCTGCATTTCCGATGGAGGCGGAAATGTTGTAGGCCCATGTGCTCAGATTTGGGTGCACGTTAAAGAACCCCAGGTGGTCCAAATTTTCGGAGCCCTCCACTACGGCGTCTCTCATAATCATATGGTGGTTTTGGGACGTTAAATCCCACAAATCAATCAATCAATCAATCAATCAATCAATCAATCAATCAATCAATCAATCAATCGATCAATCGATCAATCAATCAATCAATCAATCAATCAATCAGTCTCTCCTTCGAAAATCGCAGTAATGTCTGCCGGGCCTTAAAAGCGTGACCAGAAGAGTAACATCATGACAGGCGGCGGAGGAACGACATGTCGCTGAAATTCAACAAGTGGCAGAGCTTTGATACACCTTAAACACGGGCACACAATGCCCTTTGGTCCATTACAATCTAAGAATAAATACAGGGTACGCCCCTTGAACTACAACGCACCTGTCCTTAATGTTTGAAGTTTCAAGTTTGATATATCTTTCGTTTTATAAAAGAGAAGTAAGAGCTAGAGGCCATGTTTCATAACAGAGGCTCTTACTCCTTTGCGCATTCGGCATACATTTGATGCATGTGCAACGATAAAGCATTGTCATGTGCAAACAAAGCAATGCAGCTTCACATCGTACAACTACCCCCCGAGAACAAAATCGTATACAAACAATTTATGAAACGATACAATAAAAACGCTACGTAAAAAATGTCACGAAACCACTTCATGACAAAGAAACATATCATGCAAAACACTTCATGAAAAAAATATATATAATTGATACAGTTCAAGATTATGTGCTTATATGCATTAAATTATGAAGCTTGAAACTGTAGTAAAAACCAGTGAAACAAAGACATGCATAAGTGGTGTGTAGAACGTTATTGATAAGTTATCGTAGAATATAACAAAAAGCTTATTACATATTGTTTGCAACGTGGTGCGTAAAGGTCTGTGTTACTCCTCACAATGTTTAATAGCCGAGTTATTTGACATCGTACGTCCTGACATCCGTAGTTTGATGTGTTCGAGTGAGTCGTGCGACAAGGTTTCGTTTTAACAGCAAGTAATAATAATAATTAAATCTGTGTTTTTACGCCCAAATCCCCGATATGAATGACGCTGTACTGAAGGGCTTCGCAAATTTTTCACCATCTGGGGTTCTTTAACGTGCACTAACACCGCACAGTACACAGGCCTCGACCATTTCACCTCCATCTAAATGCGACCGCCACGGCCGGAATCGAACCCACGACCTTCGGGTTAGCACTCGAGAACCCTATGCCCCTGTTCCAACAAGGCTGGCACACTCAAAAAGTACTTTTTCGCTGCCATTGCGAGCATACTAAGAATTAAAAGTTCCTCGTCCCTACTTGTATTATTACTTTTGGCTGGGCAGTGCTGTCAGAATTTTTGCCGAAATTTAGCAGGGAATTCTAGTTTTGTACCGTAAATCAGCGATGCTAACATGCCTGTATAAAAAAAAAATAACGTACTTCTATGATTGTACATTCTAAATGACATGAGGTGTCACGTGACCTTCACGACCCGGCAACCGACCTGCAGTCAACCGATCGAAAAGACATCAAACCGGCCGGATGAAACCATAAGTACGTGGGAGGTGCCTGCCTGACGTCACAAAATTGAGCAAATGCGGTTTCATAGGTGATATAGGAAAATTTCCCTTGGAGAGGACAGCAACGGCAGTGGTTGGGGCCTGCGTTAATACGTGTAGTGGGTTACAGTCCAAGAATAAAGGCGCGCAGCACCCCCCGTACTGCGGCGCGCGCTTGTCATTCACCTGTGGAGCAGAGCAGTGATTGGTGATTTCCGATCAAACCTTAGTACTTTTTCGCTGATAATACAAACACTACGAAATGATGAATCAATTTTATGAATGAAAAGTTTGTCGTTTCTTTTTTAAAATGATGCGTTTCGCTTATCAATGAAGTCACAATTTTTTGGTGAAATTCACCAAACCGTAGAATTTTTCGACCGAAAACTATCGAAGAGAACATGTGCCTACAGGGCCAAGACATATGCCAGAAATACGTGGAAGGCCCAGACGCGGCGCAAATGAACACTTGCAATTAGTGGGATACAAACTCATGGATCAGTTGTTTGAAATGGGACAGCTTATTGCTCTTCCATAATAGATTACATCGTAATCTAAATTGTCGAACATTTCTACTAAACATTTATGAAATTTCTGCCTGGGTGGCAGGATGACCGCGTTGGGCGGAGCTTACATTTATTCTCAGGCTGAAGCCGACTCTGTGTGGAGCGTCTATGCTTTGACTCGTGCGATGTCTTACCTGAAAGTTTGATAGTTCGGTGTCGTTTTCTTGCTTGGCGAAGTGCAGTTGCTCTCCCGAGTTATCCTCGCCGCATGCGCCGGGCATGTAGGACTTGGCTTTCTGTATGAAGCCCGTCAGCTTGTAGATGAGCTGGTCGGCCATTTTCTAGGTTCTTGTTTGAATGTCCAGATTCAGACTCCACACACGAAGACGAACTATTTATCCGCTCGGTTGCGCAGGATCCTTTTTTTTTTTTCTGAAGACAGAGGTCGCGGAAGGACACTCTTATCCGAACTGAGAATCTTGTGATGCGAACAGGTCTCTTGTCGAATCTTTTCTGGCGGAAGCCCAGTTGATCTTGACCGTTGTCTCGGAGGCCACGAACCACTAAGGCAGGTTCCGGAAAAAGAGTTCAGGTTTTGGAGATTGTCGAGGTCGGCAGAGGCTGCGATAGAGAAACGCGTCATCAACTTCAAAAACGATGTGAAAACTGAATACAACACGTCAGGCGATGTCAAGATGTACCCACAAATTTTCACTTTTTGTTACAACATTCTATATCCCCATTTTTCAAAGACCATGCTTAAACTTCCTTGATAGTTGCAACCCATTTTGTGAATTCAGTGTAAGCTACAGATTACGCACTATAACCGCTAAGTGTTTCACCCAACTTCACATATTCTTCTTAATTTCACCCAACATTTCAATTCAGTGCAATTACTTTTCAATAATACAGTATTTTTGTGCAAAGAACTTTTGAGCCATTAGCCAAAGGTTCGTAGTGTAGGTCCATAATCAATACACATTTAACATCTATAATGTCATATGCATACCTACTTCTCAGTATTAATATCCTAATAGACAGATGACATACAGAACCAAATCAAAAGGAAACAGTGTATTGTACAATAGCACCCAAAATAAATAATCTGGCTACATTATGATACACATACGAAGCAAATTGGGGAAAATCATGTAATTTCTAGAGCTGGCATGAAATAATTAGCCGTTCTTACTTCATGGGGTACTACGTTCCAAATTTTGGTGCCATGTAGCTAAAGTAGTCTTGGGCTGTATACGTATTACGTTACGAGCAACTGGTACGTTGAAATTTATATTTGTTGCTTTCATTTATTGATTCCTCTGAATATGTTTCAGAACTTGCTTAAAAGCCACTAGTATATCTACTGCAATCCGTTGCAACTAGGAACACGAGACCTAGTCAAACCGATTTGTGGCTTTCTGTCTGTGCCGCTCTACCACCTGTTCATTTCATTGAATGGACACGAAAAAAAGTGGAGAGTTCAGCATCCACTGCCTGCTTTTCTGGTATCCACCCCCTTGTCAGCTTGTTTTTCAGCCGCTACGGCTGTAATATTTCGCTCCATCTCTCATTGAGAGGCCCTCAAATTTCTCTCAAGCGTTTTCTGTCACCTTAACGTTGACGCCCCATGTGTTAGGACCGATGGAATGCAATGAATAAACATATTTTCGTTAAGAAAAGGCGGCCGCGGTGGTCTCGGTGCAAGCACATGCGTTCCGGCAAAGATAGTTTGTGTTGGCCATCTCAAGTGCTTCCACAAGCCAGCAAAATGCTTGAGAAACCATCTTTTCGCCAATGTGCTTTGTTTAGAATATCCAAATGCTCATAAGAGAAACAGGTAAGTTGCTTTTATCATCACGTGCACGCACGCGTGCTGCATTGTTACCGCAAGTCTTGCGTCATTCGATGCGCACGATTTCCGATGCACTCTTCGAGGCTTCGCAGCCACTTTGCACATCCGTAGAATAAAAAAATGACAAAAAAGTGTTCCGAGGATGCTCTGCCACGCGTTTACCCTAGGACACCTTGCTACACAGGAACATGTTGACGTGTGCTTCCGAATAAGCGAGAAACAAAGAAAGTGGAACGTGAAAAACAGCTTTTGCAGACGATAGAGTCAATGAATCGGTTTTACGCGTCGCCGGAGGGAGGAGGATAAGCGGAGAAAGGAATAATTCTGTTACGTGTGTACGAAAAATAAATAAATGTCAGCCATATCGCAATAACGTAGGTCAAGCATGTTCACTGCAGTGTACACTGAATACTACGCGGTGTCCATCACGAAGCACACAAAAACGGGGCAGCGGACTCACGTTCATCTTGCAGGGCAGGGTGGATGCCGGCGACTGCTCACGGCGCTTCTGCGCTCCATCGTTGATCCTACACCCTATATGCGGCCGTTGCACGCGGCTCGTCCTGGATGCGTCGGAAAAAAACACACAAAACGGAGGACAAACGCCGCTCACAAGGTTCCTTTAACCACCTTATAGGCACTCGCGGCTACACGGCCGGGAAAAAAGAAGGCAGCGATTCCGTATCACGCGACTGCAGGGCACGAACAGGGGAAGATTCTCCTCTCCTCTCCCACCTCCACCTCAAACCAACCTCCGGCCCCTGTAAGTGCTACACCTCGGCGTTGGATTCTGGCTCTGTGCTTGCGGTACGGTCACTCATTTGCACGAAATCTTCTTGTTCGAAAGACTTGTCGCGGTGACCCTTCGCAGATGCTGTTGATTCTCGAAAAGGGAATCGCCCTTCTTTGCCAGCCCTCTCCTTTTTCCTTAATTCTCTCCCTCCACCCGGCAGCCGCTTCGTGCGCCAGCTTCTCTGTTCTCCCCTTTTCCCTTACGCTGCCTTACCACCTTCTTCCCTTCTCAGCCATCTCTTTCCCCTCGCTGTTTAAGCCCAGTACCCTCCGCCTTAACCAGGGCGCGTGCGGAAGATGCTGGCCGGGCGAGAGAGTAAGCCACTCTCTTTCTCTACTTCGTCCCGGTTTTCCTTCGCGCTCCGAAATGCGCATGCTCCAACTCGGCGAAGTTTGCGGCCGACGGTTCGCGGAGTCGCGCTGCGCGGAGTTTTTGCCGGAGCGGCCGCCGAAAGGGGAAAACTTGTGGAGGCGTGAGATCGGAAGGGAAACGTTCGGGAAAGGGAACGCGGGCAGAGCGGCGGCGGCGGCCAATTCTTTTTTTTCCCCTGGCAAAGAGGGAGGCGCCGCTGTCGCCGCGCGCTGGTCTTCTCACAAGCCGCTCGGGACGCCGCGTCAGCCGCTTCGCTGGCGCGCGAGCAGTGCGTTCCCCGCGAGTGGCGCGTCGTGCAGCTTATATTCTCGGAAGGTCGCTTTCGAGGCTTCAACACTCCTGCAGTAAGTGGTTTCGGTTTCGATCGACCTTCCCTCTGCTTCCTAACTGTTATTCGATCAGTACGAATACTGAGCCACAGTCTGGTACTGTGCGAAATAGCGCGAAAAACCTAAATGATATTGGCTTTGGTTTTAAGTTTACGTTTTACATTATCAATTTGTAGCTCTCTCGGACCTTTTTTGAACTTTTATAGAGTTCGCAACGAACGCAAGGCGGCGCTGAATTTTTTTTGCTTTCGATTGACCTTTCCTCTGATTCCTAAACGCTATCCAAGTGGTCCGAGCACTCAGCAACAGTCTCACACCGCGCAAAATTGCACAAAAGACGCATATTATCTTGGTTTCAATCCTACGTTCACTCTTTACTTTCATAGATCAGCTATCGAACCATTTTTCAGTGTGAAAATATGTAAGGTTTTTCAGCAGGTACACAACAACGCTTGATTGATTTGGTTTCGACTATAAATTTTAAACGATGTTCAAGCGATGCGATACAGAGCTGAGAAGTCGGCAATAGAGGTTTTTAACAAGGTCGGAAACATGTTACAGAAATACGACACGGTTCCTTTCCGTATGCGCGTACGATGGTCGCGCATGCGCACTCGTCAGCCGGTTTCGTGTTGCAGCTTTTCCGTAACGTGTTTGCGTAGCTTGCTAAAAACCTTTATTTTCAGCTGTGTGGAGGAAGCGGGCTGCATCGGAACGAAAGCTGGCTTGGTTTCGATTAACGAATTCCCTGCGTTTTCTTCCTAACCGGCACTGCACCTAGTTCTATGCCATGTCAAATTGCGCAGCTGTCCCGAATGGTCTTAGTTTCAACCCTGAGTTCCCTCTTTACATTCGTCAATGAATAACAGCCTTGTTTGACTTGCCTGAAGCTGTGCAGAGTTGGCAGCGAACGAACAACAGCGCTCAATGCTTTTGGTGTGGATTTTAGTTTAGGATAGGTGTTTAAGCAATGCGTTGAAGAGCGGAGTAGCACAGATATTCAGCGGCAAGTAGGATGCAGGCTGCAACGTAACGAGGCTAATTTGCGAGTGATTCCATTCTTCAAAAGCACAAGCCGGTGAGTCTTGGCTCGAACGTTGCTGACTACTTTGGTGCTAGGTGGCATATATAGCGTACGATGAGATTGAAGCTACATGTCGGGGCAGTAGCATGTGTAATGAACATCTCTGACCTGAAGTCTAACTCTCTTTTTAACTTGCAAGGAGAAAGCAAAACGAAATTCTGAAGCCTCTATCCCGTCAATTTTGTCCGTTTTGGAAAGAGACAGCTCACAACGCTTTGTGTCCTGCGCTGTAGCCCCTGGGGTTTGCTATCTGTAACTCTGCAACTTTATATTCACAAAGAAAAAAAAATGCATGCTCGCTTTTCATTTGCTTGACTTTATACTTAGTAGATTTGCGCTGGTTATCAGATTGGCTGGCCTTTGCCACCATCTCGTTGAAACATTTGTTTCACTCGCATCGCAGCGTATCATAGTGAAATTAAGTGAAGCCGTCATGAAGCTTTAAGACACAGCGCATTCTGGCATATGGACGTTACCTGTGCATCAATGTAGAATGGCCATGCTTGTTTCCTTACTTAGATTTTTTTATTCCAATGGTATCTGTGATCACTTATGTTAAAAGTACACTATTTGCCCCTTTCGATAGGTAAGCATCAACAAGGGTAAGCATCATGACGCCTAAATGTACCCATTCTGCATTTCTTCGGTAATCAGCGTCTGCTTTTGTGTGCTGTCAGTTAGCAATTCATGTTTGAAATTTTTTGTAGCATGCGCACAAGACGGTGACACACAAAAAGAAGGCCCGAATGAGCGCTTACTAACAATTGATTGATTTGGTTTTTTTTTTTCAAAGAGGAATATACACATTGGCACAAATAATCACCACGAAGCATGCGTGGAGCAAGTCATGAGGTGTATGAAAAAAATACAAGTTAAACAAATTTAAAAAGGGACATTTCTTTGTCCCTAAGCACCACCGATGATTGGCTGATACACGTTTTTCCCCACTTACCTAAATGGAACATTTTAGAGGCCTTACATGTGTGTTTATTACTATGGCCAATCAAAATGTCTGTGTCACAGGAAGGATGATTACCATGATATGATTTTCAATTATGGAACAATTACGCAGAGGTTTTTTTTTTTAGAAAACATTTATGCTCGTTTGTACCTTCTTCTGTGTGTCCACGTTTTTAGTGCACGCTACAACAATTTTTA